GATTTTAAATTGGCTCACCACTTTAGTAGCCTATTGGTCCCAAGCAAACGATTAACGTACCCTATTCTAGTTGAAATTCTATTACTACACTATGTTTGTTTTGATTCGCTATGAAAGTTTGACAGATAACATCAGGGGTGTGTGGATTCATGCAGAACATGCAGGGGTGAGTGAAATAGCTTGGGACTGCTTGGGACCGTTGTTCTGGTACTGAGTGAGCCAAAAATAATAATGATTTTCTTCGGGACCTACTAGTCTTATAGTACGTTCAGACTACAGAGTTATAACATGTTATAGCGCTATCTTGATGGTGGTCTCTGTGTTGCAATTATTTGACAACCGTTATAACATGTTATAACTCTCCAGTCTGAACAAGGCATTAGAGTTACCTCTATGGTGATGCCATTTACCTGATAAATCATAAAAATATGTACCATGGGTGCCAAACAGTGCCAATTAAAGAGCCTGAATTTATAAAGAGACGACATCTTATCCATTTGACAGGTCTTCTGCCCGATTGGAATGACTTTTCCTATGACTTTGACGGACAGCCTCTTTATAAATTTAGGCTCTTTAAGTGCCAATGAGTATACCCAAGGTTTCCATATGTATTTTTGGCACACGGTGCTGAGTGACACCCCTTGGATTAAACCTTCTTCTTCTTCTTCTTTCCTTTATTTAACGTCGGTCTCTGTTCCGCAATCTAGTGCCAATCACCGACGGACATCGATTATCATCCATTGACTCGGCTGGGATTGAACCCAGGCCCATTGGGGTGTTAGAAGGCAGTCACGCTTACCACTACACCACCGGCACCGGCAATTTTATTTAATCATGAAAAATTATTCATCAAAACATCATGGCGGATTGTTTGTTCGACGTAAATTGATGGCCATAGAAAATTTCAGACCTTGACAGATTTCCACAATCAAAGAAGATTTTTGAACAATGCAAATTCTAGATCAAGACAAATTGTTGATCAAGATAAATTGTCGATCAAGACATTTCTCGACTGGAAAATCTTTCATTTGTCTTGAATGGCACCCCTTTGCTTCGAGTAGATCTGATGGTAAACTATTCCATTAAGGCGCAATTTCTTCACCTGTGCTTAAAACGCTGTCCAGACTGGAGAGTTATAACATGTTATAACGGTTGTCAAATAATTGCAACACAGAAACCACCATCAAGATAGCGCTATAACATGTTATAACCATAGAGGTAACTCTAAGACTAGAAGGTCCCGAAGAAATGAGCTCAACTTTTTGGCTCAGCTCTGGTACTATCTTCTTACCTTACCAATCAGGCTAAGGCCTTGTTGTCCTCTGCTGTCCGAAGAAGTCGTCTCCACTCTACTCGATCCATGGCCATAGTTCGCCAGCCTCGTAGTCTGCGAAGGGTCCGCAGGTCACCTTCTTCTTGTTCGATCCACCTTGCCCGCTGCGCGCCTCTTCCTCTTGTTCCTGTTGGGTCGCTTTCTAGAACCATTTTCACTGGGTCTTCGTGCGGCATTCTTACGACGTGCCCAGCCCACCGTAGTCGCCCAATTTTTGCAATGTGGACGATGGACGGTTCTCCCAGCAGCTGGTGTAATTCGTGGTTCATTCGCCTCCTCCACGTTCCGTCATCCATCTGCACTCCAGCGTAGATGGTACGCAACACCTTCCGTTCGAAAACACCAAGGGCGCGTTGGTCCTCCACGAGCATAGTCCAGGTCTCGTGGCCGTAAAGGACCACCGGTCTAATCAGCGTCTTGTAGACAGTCAACTTCGTGCGGCGGCGAATTTTATTCGACCGGAGCGTCCTCCGGAGTCCAAAGTAGGCACGATTCCCTGCCATAATGCGCCTTTGAATTTCTCTGCTGGTATCATTTTCGGCGGTCGCCAGTGAGCCCAAATACACGAACTCATCGACCACCTCGATTTCGTCACCGTCAATCTGAACTCGGGGTGGGAGGCTAACATTGTCTTCCCTAGAACCTCTTGCTTTCATGTATTTTGTCTTTGATGCGTTGATGGCAAGTCCAATCCGTCTAGCTTCAACCTTCAGTCTGATGTACGTTTCCGCCATCATCTCAAAGTTCCGTGCCATAATGTCAATGTCATCGGCGAAACCAAGGAGCTGGATGGACTTCCTGAATATCGTGCCACTCGTGTCTATCCCAGGTCTTCTGATCACACCTTCTAACGCGATGTTGAACAGCAGACACGAAAGTCCATCACCCTGCCGTAACCCCCTTCGAGATTCAAAGGGACTCGAGAGTGTCCCCGATACTCGAACAACGCACATCACTCGATCCATCGTCGCCTTGACCAATCGCGTCAGTTTATCCGGAAATCCGTACTCGTGCATAATCTGCCATAGCTGATCTCGATCGATTGTGTCGTATGCGGATTTGAAATCGATGAACAAATGATGTGTGGGCACGTTGTATTCGCGGCATTTCTGCAGAACCTGCTGAATCGCGAAAATTTGGTCCGTTATAGCGCGGGCACTCATGAATCCCGCCTGGTATTGCCCCACGAACTCTCTTGCATATGGTGACAGACGGCGGCATAGAATTTGGGAGAGTACCTTGTAGGCGGCGCTCAGCAGTGTGATCGCGCGGTAGTTGCAGCAATCCAACTTGTCGCCCTTTTTGTAGATTGGGCATACGACACCTTCCATCCACTCCTCCGGTAATATCTCCTCCTCGCAAATCTTGGCAATTACCCAGTGCAGCGTTCTAGCCAGTGCTTCACCACCGTATTTTAATAGCTCACTTGGTAGTTGATCTACACCAGTTGCTTTGTTGTTCTTCAGCCGACCGATCTCCTCCTCAACTTCTTGAAGATCAGGGGCCGGTAGCCTGTCGTCTTCTGCGCGTGCTCCAAGGTCTGTTGCCGTGCCACCTTCGTTTTCTGCTGCTTCACCGTTGAGGTGCTCGTCATAGTACTGCTTCCACCTCTCAATCACCTCACACTCGTTCGTGAGAAAGTTACCGCGAACTATTTAGCTTCTCGTAGAACTTCCGTGTGTCGTTTACGCGGTACAGATTTTCCATCGCTTCGCGATCTCGGTCTTCCTGCCGACGCTTCTTCCTTCGGAAAACCGAGTTTTGTCTGTTCCGCGCTCGTCTGTATCGCTCCACATTCAATCTCGTGCGGTGTTGCAGCATTCTCGCCCGTGCTGCATTCTTCTCCTCTACTAACAGTTTGCATTCGCCGTCAAACCAGTCATTTCTTCGGTCCGGGATTGCAGTACCTAGTGCCGCTGCAGCAGTACTACCTATGGCTGAACGGATGTTCCTCCAACCATCTTCAAGAGAAGCTGCGCTAAGCTGCTCTTCCGTGGGTAGTGCAACTTCCAGCTGCTGTGCGTAGTCCTGGGCAACTCCGGCGTCCCGTAGTTGCTCAATGTTGGATCGCGGCGTTCGACTTCGACGGGTGTTATGAACCGTTGAGAGTTTTGAGCGCATGCATACTGCAACTAGGTAGTGGTCCGAACCTATGTTCGCACTGCGGTACGTGCGGACGTTGATAATGTCGGAGAAGAATTTCCCGTCGATTAGAACGTGATCGATTTGGTTTTCTGTGTGTTGGTCAGGTGATCTCCAGGTGGCTTTGTGGATATCCTTGCGGGGGAAAAAGGTACTTCGAACTACCATACCCCGGGAGGCTGCAAAGTTCACGCATCGTTGGCCGTTGTCGTTCGATACGGCATGCAGGCTGTTTGGCCCGATTGCCGGTCTATACATTGCCTCCCGTCCTACCTGAGCGTTCATGTCGCCGATGACGATTTTGACGTCCCGTTGCGAACAGCCGTCGTACACCTGCTCCAGCTGCGCATAGAACGCTTCTTTCTCGTCGTCGGGTCTCCCTTCGTGTGGGCAGTGCACGTTGATGATGCTGTAGTTGAAGAAACGGCCCTTAATCATCAACTTGCACATCCTCGCATTGACCGACTGCCAACCAATCACGCGTTGGCGCATCTTACCCAGCACTACAAAGCCGGTTCCCAGCTCGTTGGTGGTGCCACAGCTCTGGTAGAAAGTAGCCGCTCGATGCCCGCTTTTCCATACCTTTTGTCCCGTCCAGCAAAGTTCCTGCAGTGCTACGACTTCGAAGTTGCGTGGTTGAAGTTCGTCATAGATTAACCTATCGCAACCCGGGAAGCCGAGCGATTTGCAGTTCCATGTTCCGAGTTTCCAATCGTAGTCCTTATTTCGTCGCGTAGGTCTGTGCCGATTGTTCCGATCCGTATTTCTTTCTTCGGTATTTGCAACTTTGTTTTTTTTTCAGGGCGGCTTGTTGGGCCTGCCCCAACTCCCTGTTTCGCCGGGGGACCATCGTGCACAGCTCTGTTTAGAGTCCCACGCTGGCACTAGGACGGTGATCAGCCGCTCCTAACATGGAGAACAGACGCCGTTTTGAGCCGCACCTCCATGGTGAACAGACGCTCGGGTTTTGTGAAGCATTTCCTCTATCACCGTACTATGGTTACCGCGCCAGTGTTCGCGTTGCACCTCTTCACTTTGCTATTGCCGGACTGGCAACATTGCCCAGGCTACGCCATTTGGTCCCAAGCAAATCGACTAACGTACCCCATTTTAGTATAAATTCCAGTACTGCGCAATGTTTGTTTTGATTCGCTATGAAAGTTTGACAGATAAAATGAGGGGTTAGTGGATTTTTCTATGTTTCGAGAGGTGAATCGATTAGCTTGGGACCGAAGATAGTACCAGAGCTGAGCCAAAAAGTTGAGCACGTTTCTTCGGGACGTTCTAGTCTTAGAGCTACCTCTATGCTATAATCATAGAGGTAACTGGGGGGGAATGGTACATTCTGGGAAATGGTACATTCTGGGGAATGTTTTTCTAGAGAATGTTATAGAATCGGATAAACCTGGTTCATAAGATTTAAGTGAAGTTGGAGAAACCGACCATTAGATTAGTTTAAGTTCGAATGACAACTGGTTTTATAACAATTCGGCATGAAGTATGAAATTTTTCGTGTAAAGTGATGGTACTTGACAATCGGTTCCAATGTATAACTCAGTTTCGATAAAAACGCCAATTGGGCTGTTATGCCGCACAGGGCAGATTCACCTTCAAGGAATTTCTCTCGAACAAACTCGTTAACGATGAAGAAAATTAAACTATTAAACTTTATACAGCCAAATCAACTAGATACTAAGCAAAGCACTAACCTTCTTACGACCGATTCCCCCGGGTCACAACCGTCCGGTCCGTTCCGTCGGTCGCCCCCAGCAATGGTGGCTCTACATCATCTTCAATCACATCCTCGTCGCCACCAGCAGCCACCGCCGTCGTCAAGTCATCGGCCGCCGTCGGCACCACCGCCGCCGATAATGGGTCAAGCCGACCGTAGGCCTGCTTGCTGTAGTGCTGCTCCATCGTCTGCAGGAACGGCGACTGCCGAAATTCGGGCCAGCTGACGAATTCATTGAACACGGTCAGAATCTGCGAGGGAGTCAGCTCGCCAAACTCCGTAAAGATTGTCATCCGCTCGGGAAAGTCATTTTCCCGCAAGGGCAAAGACGAACGGTGAAATATTATCGAGTCTTTGGACTTCTTTTTCCGGGAAGGATTTTTCGGAATCGGTGCCGTTACATAATTCTGGTTTAGGATCAACCGGGCGCCGCAGAAGGGGATCCATCGTCTGTGAAAAAAATCAGCTTCAGAACTCAGTATACAGCAGAGCGAAAATTAAACCTTACTCCAAAGCGGGAATGACCCGATTTTTCCTACTGACCATGTTCTGCGAAATGAAGAACGTCAGCAGTTTCAGATTATCCGGCAGGCAGAAATCGAACAGATCCCTCCGGGGAACAACCCGCATCAGGTACAGCTCATCCGATCCAACCAGCCCCAGCCGGTGGTATTGGGTTTGGTTCCTTCGCTGGCTGGGATTCGTTGGCCACGGGAGGAAATCCCTTCGAGGAATTTTTGCTATAAACTCATGCTCGAAAAATATCTGAAACAGAACGCTACTGCAGCGGTATAACTTGTAGCCGGCATCATTGCTGCAGGTGAGATGCTAAAATAAAATAGAGTAAATTAAAAACGTCAATGTCAATGAGTCCAACCAATCATACCACGTAGAACAACGGCGGAACGGCCAGAATCATCTCGCACCGTCCCGTACCGAGCAGCCCCTTCTGGATGGACACCGAGTTAATAAGCGTTTTGAAGAACCTCAGCGATCCCACGACGGAAAAGAGCCGAAAATTCACCTCCTCGTCCCTCCACCGTCGGTGATTGGGTAAATCCCGGAGCATCTTCTCCAACCTGCTCCCCTGGTCCATGCTGTCCATGTAGCTCTGTCTCCAGTGTCCGTTGAAATCCGCAAACCTCAGTTCCATCTTTTTGTTCGGAATGACCAGCTTGTTCAGTTCCGGCTCGAATCGTTCGTCGGATTCGTACAGCAGCAGGTTATCGGTTTTCCGCAGAAGTTCTTTCGTCAACAGGCCCGGTCCGGGGTTGATTTCCACCAGACGCGTCTCCGGTGAAAGTCCCTCCGTGACGTACTGGCTGATGGTCTTCGCTCGTTCCGGTGAAGCCAGGTAGAACCGTTCGGTGGTTTGGGAACGTTTGAACAAAACCGGTGGAAATAGATCGACGATTTTTCGATACTGGCGTGGTTCGAAGTATTCCTCCAGGTCCCGGGCGAGGCGTGCGGAAGCAACGTTTTTTGTTGGTTCATCTTGTGAAGGACTGGATGAGCTTGGTGGTTTCTTTTTGCGTTCTTTCGGCGTTGCTGACGAAGTGGATGCCAACGTTCGCCGGACGGTTTCGTGGCGAAGGTTTCGTTTGAACGGGATTCTAGTTGCTGATAGTCGGGAGATCATTATTATCACGGGAAAAGATTTTTTTTGGACGCTGGATCACGAAATTACGCACTGAACGATAGGATGGTAACCGCGTGTAAACAAAAGCAACCCGGCACGCGCCCGTGAAGTATATAATATTGATATAATCAGCTGTTTTGTGGAGAAGGAGAAGTGGTGCCAGATTTACGAAATGTACAAGAATGCATGAAACATTTCAGGAAATGTTTCTTATTTTGAATTTTTTTTATTAAGCCCAAGGTGACTACATATAGGTGTTCTAATGTGTCAAATTCATGATTCAGCCATGTTGGATTTTTGTATGGGACAGCGACCGAGTTTGTTTACAATTTGCTCTAAAACCGCACTTTTCCCCCCCGCGACCTCCTCGCCTATATAGTGACAAAGCTGTATCACCATTTATATACCCATCATGATTAAGCCTGCACTCTATTTTGTGGTACTCATTCTTGAGTCGAAAATCACTCAGTTCAGCCAAAAGAGAAGTCAAGAACAACACGAGAAAAGGGCATACAAGCTTTTTGTAAACAAACCTTCTTATGCCCTTTTCTCGCCACTCATATGACATCAACGCAAACCATTAACGTTAGCGGGTAGGGGAAGCTTTCCCCTTCCCGATGATGTTGTTGGTTTGCGTGGGTGATCCTCGGTTGGCGAGAAAAGAGCATACAAAGGTTTGTATACAAAAAGTTTGTATGCCCTTTTCACATGTGGCTCTTGAAGTAACTCAAATTTGAGTAAACCTGTCTATGGAGGAATCTGGGTAACGATTACTCAGATGATGATATTTGTCAACTGAGTAAACCTTACACATTTAGATAGAAACAAATGAATGCCCCAAGAATGCTTTATATGTAAAATATTTCGTCCACGAACAATATTAAAAAAAAACCTTATGAAAATGATAAACCAAGCCAAACACTTTAATTATAAAAACTATCAAAACTTCAAAACTTTTATTTTGAAAACGCATGATTTTTATTGATACAATTTTTGTTTTTTGTATATTTACTGTGAAGTTTGCCCAATTTCGTAGATTAATTAGATTAGGATAAAATTAACGGTGTTATGAAAATTCCGAGGGGGCGACTCTATCTACGATGCAGGAAATTTTTTGTTTTGCTGTGGATAGCTGAGCGCACGCTGGGTAGATAGAAAGAAGATTGATGACGATTCTGAAGATTTCCTTGAAAAAGATGATGCACCATGCAAGTAGATGCGAGAAATGAAAGAAAATTTTGTGAAGATTGATTCACTAGTGTGCGATTTGTTGAGCGTCTAGAATTGAGATTTAGATGTGTCGGTCCCAAAATTACAGATCATGAATGTTTCACCTAGAGCTCGTCGTTTTTCTAGTTTTTAAAACAATGTCTATGTTCTGTCGCCCACTTTTCACTGAAAAATCAGGCAAATGATCCATCCATTCGGTTTCCTTTGATGATTTCGTAAAAAAATATTCTGGAACTTTGATGAATTCTAGATAGAGCTGGAATAAGGGCAAATATCGCAAGTGTAAACAAACTGCGGTTAATTTATCACGTTATACTACTATTAAAATGCTACAAAACGATACTAAACAATTTTGGACAAATAATGTACATTCTTAAAAAGACGCAAAAACATAAGGGTGAAACGAGGGGGGTGACTCTATCTACGATGCAGGAAATATTGTGCGTACGCTGAGTAGGTAGAAAGAAGATTTATCACGATTTTGAAGATTTCCTGCAAAAAGATGATGCGCTATGTAAGTAGATGCGAGAAATGAAAGAAGATTTTTCGGAGATTTATTCGCTAGTGAGATTTTTTTAGCATCTAGAATTGAGATTTAGATGTGTCGCCCCCCTCGGGGCGAAACCAACTTTTTTTTATTTCAAATTAAGTTGGCTCTTACGGCCGCTTCCTCCCATATACATAGATGAGGCGAAACAGACATATTTTCTCAATACAAAGCGAAAGATATAATTCGAATATTTTCACTACTCCTTGCAATTACCGGTTGGTAATCAAAAGAAAACATTGTTAATCTGATCGAAATAAGCGAAAACACCCCAACACATGAATTTATCTAGAATCCAACAAACTGCAAAAGGTCGATAGTAACAAACCATCAGGAAAAAGAACGTAAACATTGAGGCGAAACAGACAATGTCAAAAACTAGCAGCCTAAACATAGGGGCGAAATAGCTTCTGTGAACGCAGCCGGGCGAATAACCTCAGGGCGATACAAGATACTATAAATCAAAAGGGCGCATGGAACATTTTCATTTTTCCCCCCCTTGACACTCACTGTTGCAATCCTAACTTCAAACAATGTTTGTTAAACAGCGTCGGAGAAAGACCCTTGGTTAGCATATCTGCTGGCTGATTCCCGGTTGGGATGTACTTCACCGCTACCTTACCACTTTGAACACATTCCTTGATGAACTGTATATTCACCTCCGTATGCTTGAGCCTTTTCGATGGTGCATCAGATTCAGCGATCGCAATGGTAGACTGATTGTCTTCGAATATATCCACCGGTTTCTGTTCCAGTATACTTAGCTCGCTGAATAACTTGCGAAACCAGAGAGCTTCACAGACACAATCCGCCAAAGCCGAAAACTCGGCTTCCGTTGAGGAAAGCGCAACGGTCTTCTGCTTCTTCGTACTCCACGACGTTGTGGCTCCGTGAACTTGGAAAAGATGACCAAGCCTCCATGCCAAATCGTTTGAGCACCGCTTCCGTGTATCCAGGTTGACTCAGCTTCATCAGACCTTCCGACAGTTTTCTATCTATTTTCAGTCCAGTATGGAGGCGAACCAGCCCCAGGCTGAAAGCCTCCCTAATAAAGATAAATAATAATAATAATAATATTTTCAGTCCAAGAAACATTTCAGCTTCTCCTAGGTCCACCATTTTGAACACCTGCTTCAGCATCCGTTTGACGATCTCCACTTCACGAAGGGACTTTGAAATAATCAGTGTTGCAATATGTGGCGACCCCCCGTATCATCATTCCCACTGACGTTGCCGACAACAACACACAGACACAGGGATTTGAGGTAGAGCAGAAAAAGAGCGCAGCTCGCTATCTGTAAACGTTCTAAATATTCGCTTAAATAAATAATTATAAAACGTGGAACCCGTGTTTGAGGTTGAATAAAACAATCAGTATGTCGTCAACGTACAACAACAGGTACACAGGACCCAACTCTCCATCTCGCACGTACAAACAAGCATCTTCTTCACAGCGCCAAAAACCAATCTGCGCAGCGAACTGATTGAACCGGTCATTCCAGGCCTTGGACGCTTGTTTCAGCCCATAGATAGATTTGTTTAACTTTCAAACTTGGTTCCCCTCCTCAAATCCTCTAGGCTGACGCATATAGATGTCTTCTGTTAGTTGACCATCCAAGAATGCCGCCTTGACATCCATTTGATGGACCACGAGATCATGCAGATCGCCAGAGCAAGCATCGTCCGAACTGTTGACATCTTAGCTACTGGCGCGTAAGTTTCGGAAAAATCGAAGCCATACCGCTGGCTGAAACCCTTCGCTACTAGTCTCGCCTTCAGCTTCAATCGAAAAACCCACTTGCAATGTGTGTTTGAATGGGTGCGATTAAAGAGGCTGGCAGGTGTGGAAGCTACCTTCCTGTACATTCGATTGTCATCAATGGATGGCAATCAATGTCCGTCGGTGATTGGCGCTAGATTGCGAAACAGAGACCAACGTTAAATAAAGTAAAGAAGAAGAAGATCCCCGATCCAGGTTGGAGCTGGATTAAAAACAAATTCGGTACTGGGCGATTTCGGAACTAACTTACAGAAGCGATCCCCTTCCTTCCCAGGTGATATTTAAAGGAACACGAAACGCATCAACGAGCTCAACTTTCAGTTAGTGTGTACTTTTATTGATACCAGTAACATTTATGTTTGATACATTCACATTTTTTTTTAAATCGTCTCTTCAAGCCTAAATATCGTCGAATTCCGTCCGAACCCGTCCGATGGACTATGTATTTTTGTTTTCTTTTAATTTAATACCTACGAACGCGTGTCCAATCAAATGAGATGATGAAAATTTTAGTATTATTCGATATAATAGCCACTTGTTTTGTCAAAAGTGAGGATTTTAGAATAGGTAATTTTTAAATAAATTAGGTCTTATCTTGTAACCAATTTTCATTAGACAATTCTTTTTTGCCCGTTAGCAAAAACTTAAAGCAAAAGGACAGCACAGTTTTGTTTGTTTGTTTGTTTGAATGTTAACTTAAATAGCACAAACGGCACTTATACTTCCGAACCCTGGGGTGTTCCGGAAGGTAGCGTCCTGGTTTCCTTTAGAACTTATCGAATGAGATGGTGTTCAATTTCAATATATGTATATAGGTATACTTTGTCTAAAAGGATGTCAGGGAAGGGTGGGGGTGCCTTTGTACGGTTGTCTTCTCCTGCCTGTGTAATGACTATTTAGTATTAATGTTCCGTGTAGGTTTGCGGCTGCAACAAGCTAAAAGTTTGTTCGGTTGTTAGTTGACGATACGGTTCCGGTTGAGAACGCTCACCCACACAGCGAAAGAATTTATTCGACATTCCTGTGAAATTGCAAAATAAGAGAAAATTTTGATTTGAGACTTCAGTGCTTCACGGCCATTCAGAAGGCGATCCTTTTGCCATCGTATACGTACACAATGCGAATGGTGTTGGTGAAACCGGAGCCCTGCTTCCAGCCGGTGACGATGACCACCGGGTTGCCCGGCTTCAGGAAGCCACGTTCCTTGCCGAACTCCATACCGTACTGGACGCGAGCATCGACGTCCTTCAGCCAGTCATCCAGGGCGGGTTCTGTGGGAATTGAAGGGGTTATTTAAGGGATGATGGATACTTAAGCGGATAAACTTACGCTCATAGACCACGGGCAGGATGCCTCGGTATAGATGGCACTGACGGCCGGTCTGCGCGAACCGGGTAACGGCAATGATCGGGCAGCGTGGCCGGTACTTGGAGATGAGATGAGCCGACCGGCCGGAGGTAGTGATAACGATGACGGCAGCAGCACGGCTCTTGGCGGCCGCTTCCGAGGCAGCGATCGCAATCGAACAGGCCGTGTCCAGTGGGGTTGGGGTGGTGTTGACCAGATCGTTGAACAGATTGCGATGCCACAGAGCGGCTTCGGCTTCCTTGCAGGTCTTGGCCATGGTCAGAACGCACTCCAGTGGGTACTCGCCCTTGGCAGTTTCACCCGACAACATAACGCAATCGGCTCCATCAATGATGGCGTTGGCAACGTCCGAGATTTCGGCACGGGTCGGGCGTGGCTTCTTGATCATGGACTCGAGCATCTGGGTGGCGCAGATGACTGGCTTTCCGGCGCGGTTGCACCGCGCAATCATCGACTTCTGAGCCAGGAAGACCTTCTCCGCTGGGATTTCAATACCCAAATCACCACGGGCGACCATGATACCGTCCGAAGCAGCAATGATAGAATCCAGATTCTGCATGCCCTGCTGGTTCTCGATCTTCGAGATGATCTTGATGTTCTTGCCCTTATCTCCGAGAATACCTCGGATTTCCTTCAGAGCGGCAGCATTACGGATGAACGAGGCGAAGATCACGTCAACGCCCTGATCAACACCGAACTGCAGATCGGCCTTGTCCTTCTCGGAAACGGCCGGCAGATCGACTGGGACTCCGGGCAAGTTGACGCCCTTGCGCGATCCCAGCATACCGCCGTTCTCAACCTCGCAGGTCAGAGTGTCTCCGCTAATACTTTCAACCACCAGCGAGATCAGACCGTCATCGACGAACACCCGATCGCCCTTCTTGACGACCTTCACAATGTTTACGTAATCGACGTAGACCTTGTCCTTGCTGCCCTTCTCCAGGTGTTCCTTGTCGGTCGTCAGCTGGATGTGATCGCCCTTCTTCAGTTCAACCTCGCCGGTGCCGCTGCCCTCCATCAAACCGGTACGGATCTCCGGACCCTTGGTATCCAGGGCGATCGCCAACGGGAACGGTTTGCCCAGCTTCTTCGAGTAGCTGTCGACGGCTTCGCGGATGTTCTTGATCGTGTTGCCATGGTACTCGTAGGAACCGTGCGAAAAGTTCAACCGGGCAATGTTCATTCCGGTGGCCATCATCTTCTCCAGCATGGCCGGTTCCACCGAGGCCGGCCCGATGGTACAGATGATACCGGACAACCGCACGAATGCCGTCTCCGTGTCAATGTCCAGCGAGCAGATGTGCTCCAGGTGCGAAATCGATTCGGGATTCATCTTGCGACCCTGCGGGGGTGGGGAAAGCGGAACAAACAGCGATTAGAATTGATTTGGGTGGGGGGGATGGAAATTGAGAGATGCTGAAAGAACGAAAACGGTTATTTACGGACGAAGATACCTGCCCGAGAGTTGCGCTCTGAAACGAGGGGAAAAGATTATCGGAAAGGAAAGAATCGCGCGAGGAGGCAGCAGTGGTTGTTTGGCATTGATAGGCACGTCTACGCTTCGTCACGCCAGACTGACTTGAGTGAGAAGGTTATGGAAGAAAGTCATCGGTAGGTCAGTTGAATGGGTAGCCTAGTAGTGCCTTATCGGAAGATTGCAACGTAAGAGGCTGCTTGTTTTGCAACGTATAAATAGTTGCACTATCCTATCGCTGTGACGTAATGTTTTAGAGTGAATTATAGCGCGATAAGGGATAAGGCTGCATGGTGTTGGTTGTGCATAATCTTGAAGTGCGCAGCCGGTAGCCACTATAGAGCGGAACTGCGGATTGTTTTAAGAAGCGCCACCTTGAATATTGTTTTTCCAGCTCATCGCTATGATTTATTTGATTGTTGTTCATATGTGAGCTTTTTGCTATACAATGTATCGAAATTTGGAAAGCAAATTATGGATGTCTGGTTTTATTCTACGCCGTCATCTGGCTCAGACCTAACTAATACTTGTGCAATTCGCAAACGTCAGAGAAGTCTATCCCCCCTATTCTGCGAGTCACGTGACTCTCTCTCTCTCACCGGTGAGGTGACTCTCCATTTGATTTGCATAGAGAGTCACCTCACACGAGGTGACAATTGTCACCTCACCGGTGAGAGAGAGTCACGTGACTCGCAGAATAAGGGGGTATGTCTTGAGCAGCGGCGCCGATTCTAGCCAACAAAGTCCTTGAGCGCTCGACTAAACGACCAATAGACTAGGGTCTGCTAGTTTCACCGAGTTGTATTCATTGGAACCAACTTCAATTTGTTTACGATTTGAGAGTTGTTGAACAGGTAGATTGAGGTTAGGGCGATGCCTCAGTAAGACCTGAGAATTTGATAAGGTAGGGAAGAGCGCTACTTCGTCGTAATCGCCCATTTCCGTTCTATCGACCAGAAATCATCAATAATATCAATGATTTCACCATGCACAAAACAATACTACGTTTGTTCCGATGCGTTAGTTCATTAGCTACGACATAAATCCTATTAGAGCGCATTGTATGCATATTTACGCTCATTGTTCTCAAAACAAAAGAAGAGCTCCTAGCGCATCCCCTTTTTCTCCGTTTATCCGTAGGACGAAGAAAATCTAATGGTGTGTCAATGTGTTTGGACGGAATTGAAACGCGTAGGACGAATTTAGAAGCAAGAAGCAGTGTTAGATTTTTAATAATATCTCAACATTGTTTGACTCTTTATCAAATCCAACGGTACGTATGGAAAGGTGGATAAATTTAGAAGTTATCTTTGATGAAAAAATTCCATGTTTTGTTCAAACGCTTTCCAAAAAGCGTGGTAAAGTGCGGGATGTCCTTAGTAGGACGGAAATTAGATCAAAAACCCTAGGTAAGATTTTTTTATAAGTCATTTCAGAAGACTTCTAGCTAGAAGTCCAGTAAATTATGATGTTGTTTTGAAAAGTCAGGAAAAATTGAAGAAGCTCAGCGAACTTCGTTGAAATTCAGGGAATTTCGTAGAAGCTCAGGGATTATTGTAGAAGAACACTTATTTATTTATTTATTTCGTCAACCGACGTAGACTAGTATAAATACAAGAAAGAAATTTGCTTCGCTCAGATGTTTACGAAAAATCATAGAAAAGGTTTAAAATTTTTCTTGAAGGTTGTAGAAGGTCATAGATGTTCTGAGATCTTGGTCGGATTCAGGTAACTTGAAGAAGCTGATGCAACTTCGTAAAAGTAGAGGAAGTTTTCAAGAAGTAAATACAGTGAACTCCCTATAATTCGATATTGCAGGGACCATCGTGTTATAGAATAACAATTCCATAACAAAGCCATGAAATCAATTTTTACTATGGTTCTATAACTCAATATACTAGCTCGATTTGTGGAGAGTTGACTGTGTAAGGAAACTTTGTAGATGTCCAAGTAATAGTTGAGCAATTTTTCCGCGTCTTAGTAATTTTCGAGATGTGCATCGATTAGCTTGGGACCGAAGAGAGTGCCAGAGCTGAGGCAAATTGAGCACGTTTCTTCTTGACCTGCTGGTCTTAGAGTTACCTGTATGGTATAACGGCACATTAGATCCGGATCGGACGCGTTGCGGCAATGTGACAGCTAAATCTATTGTCTAACTGTCAAATATACGTCAACGCAACGCAAACGGATCTAATGTGGGTGGCCCTTTAACATTTAGCAAATTCATCATTATATGCGATTTGGTCTAAATCTGCACTACTTTACGATTCTATCAGTGCATTGTTACACGACTTCTCTACTACACCCGATAGCGGTGCAAAATTATGCAACCATCATCATCATCACGACCGACGACAGTGCCATTCAACGGCGATAGTAAATCGATCCGTCTTGAAACTGACCGACTAAGACAATAAATTAGCTTCTAATTAGAACTGTCCATCACCACCACCACTCGGTCATATTCCAGAACTCAAAAGCCAACGGCACGATACTTCCTATATATGACCGCCGTCGATTGTCAACAACCGTTGATCAACAGCCTGCTTAGATTATCGCCTTCTTGACAAAATTCGCTTCGCTTGCTTATATAGATTCCATAACAGCGGCCAATTGTTGTTTACAAACAACCGTTCTGCGTGGCGATTACAATTACACAAACGGTGGTAAATTTTATCACAACCGCAATATGTGACTTCATCGTACACGGTTTGATCGGTGCCAGGCAGCACAGATGGTGCTCCCCCCCCCCCCCTCGCCCTACTTCACATTATATCGCACCCTTCATCATTTTAATTTTGGCTTCTTTGGGGCGGCGAATATCTCAGGGGAAAATTATTTTTAGCCATCCACCAAATTGAGTCGGAAACCGACGATTTTCGTTATGTCGCAGCCGTGCTTTTTGTAAATACACACCACATTGCCACTGACTGGCACATAAACACGCAGCCGTCGAGTTGTCCTTGGTCAAGGGCACACGGATCTGACATTTCGATACAAACTCCCTCTTTTCATTCGCTTTCCTCACCCCTACACTACGCCTGCTGCGACGAGACGACGGGAAAAAAAAAAAAAAAAAAATCAATACCAAACCTGCCGCCGACACTGACCTCCCCGAACACAGACATAGCAGATGGCCGTTTTTGGCTAGATAAAGGTAGTTAGTGCCAAATCAATCGGGATTCGCAGGTTATAGGGTTCAGGAAAACTATCGTGCCGCTTCCCATTTCCCTGAACACACACTTGTTGACGTCCGGTCTCGGATGACCTCTTGGCGTACTTGAACGGCTTCGACCTCGCTCCGGGTTGGTTTGGTTAGTCACCAACGAACAAATCACAGTTACACGACACAGATGCGGATGCTGTGACGTTCCTTTCGTCGGTCGAGCAGGAAGGACCTTGCCCTGTCCCTGCTGAGTTCGAGTTCCTCACCTTTGGGTTGACATCGTAATCGGACACCCACACCATCATCCCTGTACGGTGAAAATTACTTATCAGTCGGGTTGCAGAAGAGGAGGAGAATGGGGAGTGATAAGATTGGACTTTTCCAAGAAATCGTACACTGGTTCCGTTGATTCCGGGAAGATTCGGTTCACTTGCTGCAGAGGGATTATCGACGACGACGGTTCGCGACGCAACGGATTTGTGAAAATTTATCAAACGATGATGATTACACAACGGCCAGAACGCGACAATAGACGACCGGTAGCGATGCAGCGCGGAACTTGAATGAAGAGTCCGATTAATCGATAAAATTTTCACCATCAACGGCGAAGACGAGTGGGTTGAGCTTTCCCGAAGGATCAACGCCGAGCCGCGAGCGGAAGCCGAACTCAGTAGGCGGCGGTGGTGACCATGGTGGATGAATGCTCGATAAAAAAGGTTCATTTCGCGTCACTCACGGTCACGTTGCCGGTCGGTGTCTGGTTGTTGTTTTATGTGGATTTTGGATTTTTCGACTCTCGCAGAGGGTGGGTGGAAATTTCGATCTATGGAAGCAGCAGTTAAGTGCGATTTCGGATGTTTACAGGTAAAATCGGTTCTCCTCCTCTTCTCCGATTTTCTTTACGCTGAAGGGGTGGCCATTTGGTGTGGGGGGGTGCAGATTCAAGGCACTTTTTTGTTTTTAAATAATAAAACCAATGGCAATTTGTTTACTGCTGCCAGCGAAAAAATTAGTACTGCTTTGGGGTGGCATTTTCCCGTTTGGTGCTGAGGAAAAATTGTTCATTTCGTTCGCCAAATTACGATGGTGACCGACTGTTGTGAGTTGGGGAGATATAAATAACATTTTTGCCCGAACGGGCAGACACTGTGGTAGTCGAGTTGGGGAAAATTCAAACTTTGTTGATTTTAGCATTGCACCCTTTCAAGTGCAGTTCACTATCCCAGTGTCTGAATCTAGGCGACGATGGTAATGATAGCCATTTACCCCGAGTTTTGACAGCATAGCAGGGCATGCGCTGTAAGGCCGATCGAATGAATTTGTCAGACTTTCTGCGGTGAATTTTCTAATCTTGAGTTTAATCGAAGACAACATATCAAGAAGACTGACCACTTTGCCTGAATCCAAGCGACAGGCACAGTAGCGGTGCGCTCGAGCGCAGGTGGAACAACGTATAGAAAAATGAGCAAATACACAAACCTTTCTTCTGAGGATGGAACCTTTGCTATCCACACGGCGAATGAGAACGACTCAAATTTTAGTTTAGTTCACTCATAATCGCCAAAAGTGCAGGAACTCAGCGATGAGTTAATTTGCCTCATGTTTTCCCAGGTTTTCCAGGATTTTCCAGGGAAAAATTCCCGAATTTGAGAAAAGTAAAGATTGGATTCACTCAGTCTATTGGTACTACTCCGAGACTGAATAAAATTTTCGTCAATTTTCTCATTTTCCAGCAGATTTTTAAGGTTTTCCACAGGAAACCATGGGACAAATTTTACTCATCGCTGAGTTCCTGCACTTTTGGCGATTATGAGTGAACTAAACTCAAATTTGAGTCGTTCTTATTCGCCGTGCAATTTGTTCGTAGCATTTACCTTTAATCGGAAGATGACACGATTGTGTCTGTCTCATACCGGTTGTATGAGAAAATGGAAGAGTTGCCAGTCTTCTTGATATGTTGTCTTCGGTTTAATCAAACCACTAATAAAGGAGCCACTAACTAAAACCCAAAAATAGCATATCAAGAAGACTGACAACTCTACCGGAGCATCCGAAGGACTAATATAGTAGCGCTGCACTTGAGAAAAAATAGAGCATTGAAAAGTGAGCAAATACAGAAACCTTATTCTTCTTTTTCTGGAGGTTTGCATCTTCGTTTTCAAATTCGCTCGGAGGTTTTGCCTTTGAGCGGTTGATGGTTATATTGGGTCGTATACTTAAAAAGTTAAGGCCCGAACACAATGTGGGTGGAAGCGGAAAGTTTGACAGTTGTCATAAATGACATCAAAATGCCTAACCGAAGTCGATTAGTCGACAAGTAGGCTTACTTAGATCGGACTTTTCCGCTGCCGCTGTCATTACGCTTGGGCCTTTATAGTTAACTACAGCTCGAGTAGTCAATACTACATTTTAGTCATTATGGTCTGAACAAGGGGTAGTCACTCTATACACGCATTTTGCGCTAACTTTTTTCTCAGTGTGCCGCAACTGTGTCAACAGTGCCATGACATCGTGATGACTTTTCTTGTTTGTGAAAAATTGCATGTTTGGCAACCCGGTATTTTGACAGCTTGATTGTTTTCATTTGTTACAAATCAAATTCCTTTCCAGAACCGAAAATGGTTTTCAAGTATGTATTCCTCCTCAAATTGTAGCAAATTGTAGCGCGAAGCGCAACGCGTTCAATTTCAACGGTTCCCTCATCCTCACGCTGTTTCCGTTCTGGCGTCAACTGTGGAGGCCTGCTCACTGAACGACGTTTGAGCCGTTTTCCTTCCTTCAGTCGGGTTAGTTCCACCAAAGCGGAAAGTAAGAATAACCGTTCAATAGCTCTGCTAGGAATGTGACACGTGACTACCGAAAGTAGACTGGTGGTATTCACTGGCGTGCTTACTGGAAGTTCCTCACAGTGGCGGTGTCTCCAGCGACAAGAATGCTTTCCCTGATTTGTCGGTCAGTTTGAAGTTTTCATCCTGGTAGCGAGGCTGTGCGACGGCATATAATAGATAGTAGGAACCGAGCATGAAAGCCGCAGTTATGGTGAACAGCTATCGAATTTTCCAACGGAAGCGAACTTCTGAATGTCATCCAAAAACGGGAACAGCGCTAAGTACTCAGTAGCAGTGTACTTTTCTAAAAGTTAAGAATCATATAAGATCATATATAATAAAAGACAATCCTAAACCAAGACAGCCCCAAAGCTTGAGTTATGCGATCCAATTATCTCGAATCATTTCAATCAAAACACCCTGATAGTCTGGTAGTATATCTCAAATCCACAGTCCATATATCCAACACTTCCTGGAGCCTATTTTGGGTCTTTGTGTTTTCAGCAAATACCCTTCAAACTGCGATTTTTGCCCCTGTATCCGCAAACCCTCCTTCTGATGATTCAAGACGCTCTGCTGCTTCTAGATGCTCGCTTATCTCCTGGACCGTACGCTCAGCCTGTCAATGGTCTAATCTCGATGAACATTTCAAATGGTCCTATCTGCTTTGATCGATTCTCTTCATCGACTTTCTCTTTCGTTAATAACTCAGCTGAAAAACCTTTCCCTGTTGTATTTGACGTTTTGGACGCTAGATAAGAACCTACTTTATCAAACTATGTGGTAGAATTAGCGCGAAATCTGTTTGCATAGCAGTGGTAATGAAAAGAATCGATCAAAGCAGATAGGACCATTTGAAATGTTCATCGAGTAATCTTCTTGCACTTGCCACCGTTGGCTCCTCAAAAAAAAATGTACTTATTTTGGGTGTGCGTGAAATATTCCGTGTACACTGCGAAGGTCTGGCTTTAGGATTTCCTTTAGAACCACTTCCCATTGGCCTTTGATATGGTCGTACTAATAATTGACCGGAAATCTTAAGGAAGAAATAGTTGATGAAGTGCAACGCCAAATCCACTTACATATTGTATCCGTTAGCTTTCGGTACCTGTCCTGGAGGTTATCCAACGAATGAAGTATTGTGCGGTTTCGTGGTAGTTGTCTTTTTTTCCTATGGCTGCTTCTTGCTGCTTTGATCGATTCTCTTCATCGACTTTGAAATGTTTATCCACAATGAAAATCACATTATCGAATAGTTGAACAGCTTCAGAATTTTCTTGAAGCAGCAAGTAGAAATAATAAGCAAAGCTCCCAAGGCGAACCAGCCGATGGCTGAAAGGCTTGTGAATGAAATAAATAATAACTAAAGCTTTTAGATCGTTTACATTCTGAGCTTCTGACTTTCAAGAAAATTGATGATGAGAAAGATGTAAATAATGGCTTGACTGACACTTATGCACAGAGGCAGTGCAGTGTTGCCAGGAACTTTAAATATCATGAATAATTATAACCATCGGTGCCAAACAGTACCAATGAGTGTGCCCTGGGGGCAAGACAGCTATCGATCATGAGTAAAACTGAAGTTAATTTTGAGTAACTCTGAGTAACTCACGCTGCTCAATGTCTTATATACACATAGCAACCTGATTGGTATATAGAGTTTAGTGACGTTTAACGCACGCACACTAGCGGGAGCAACACCGTGTAAAGTTGTTTATTATTTTCCTCTGGCTAACCTAAAAAATGTATGAAAGTAGATCTGCCAAAATGAGTTTGACATCGATTTGTTATGTATTTTCCTCGGATATTCACTAACACACTCTCACATATCGCACCAATACAACCGAACGTGAAAATCTCTATTGAAAATAATGTTTAAACCGATGCTGTCAAGCAAAGTAAGTTGGCGTGTTTTCTTGGAATTTCTGTATAGGGACTTTTGGGTTGATTCGATAGGTTCGGATTAGACTAAAATAATTCAATACATTCAATTCTTAGAGCAATACAGTTTGTAGCACTGCTGCCATCTCTCCTGTTAGTGTTGAATTCAATCTTCTGTAATTTTTTTAATTGGACCGCTAAAATGCCTTAAATAGTCGTTTTTTTATTTATTCAATTTCTGATATTTATTCATAATTAAATACATCCAGTTTAACTTCATAATTGCTTGTTTTAATAAACTTTAATTAATTGCTAGAGGCAATACATCTGGCAACGCTTTTTCAATGATACATTTACGATTGCTGGCAAAGCGCTAAAGTTGAAGTGGGTTTCTTTCGCTGGCGAAGCTGGCCAAATCTGGCCTAGAATCAGCAGCTACATAATATGCCACAATCAGCAGTCAAGGACCAATTCTATTGACCACGAAGGAAGCTTAAATCTCAGGTTGTACCTCAGGTAACCAAAAAGGAGCATTCTCCTTTTGGAACGGGTAACTCCCGTCACTCCTGTATCGTCCTAGGCCGTGTCAATCCTCACCAATGAGGGAAGGCGCCTGAATGGCATCCAAGCCACACACGAACGACAAGCCCCGTAAAACCGACGTGTAGTCAAACCACCACAGTAGCATTTCGTTTGTCCGCAATTCGATTTCTAAACGCACGATTCGATCTGTCAAATGAGCAAACAGATGCTGCAAACGAAATATGCTGTCAGACGATATTTCTTTGATCAGAAAATCGAGACTACTTTGATCAATTTTGAGTAAATATGAGTAACTCAAATTTACTCGCTGCAAATATATTT